ACTTAATAGACTAAATACATTTTTCCATAATTGCTGATTATTTCACGCTGTAGCAAGCTTAGTTTTTTACAGTTGTTAAAAAGTTTTAAAACCTATGTTTCTTGTTGAAATATATACGGCCAGAATGTATTGCCACACAGCTCACACTGGGGCTGATTGGATACAAAGTTTAAAATGTCTTGACGGAATGCAGATTTAGATCAGAATGTATTGCCACACAGCCCACACTGAGCCCACATATTAAATCGTTTAGAATCTTATAAAAAATGTCTTTTTTTAATCAATTAGAATCTTATGATCTAGTGATATCGTTGTTGTCTTTCTAAAGTGAAGGTCGCAATTTTAAATCTTATCCCAACTAAAGAGTTTACAATATCGTTGAACAAAGGCTAAAGGGTCAAATAGGTACATGAACTAACTTAAAGTGTTCAATTAGCCCCTTATATAGGAGGTTTTGCCCGGCCATCGCCAATTGGGGCGGTTCCCGGTTGAATTTATTGATGAATTTTTTTGAGTATCTTCTTCATTAAGTCTAGTTTACCCATATCAAATTTCAGCTAAAAATTAAATCGGGAAGGCAGTCAAATGATTTTCCAAAATGTACTGCGTTGTTTAACTGCGCAGTTATCTTCAAAAAATTATTTGACTGCCTTCCCAAGTGAATTTTTAGCTGACATTTGCTATGGATAAACTAGACTTAATGAAGAAGATGCTCAAAAAATTTCATCAAAAACTTCCACCGGGAACCTCCCCAATTGGCGACGGCCGGGCAGAATCTCCTATATAAGAGCATCTTTAGTGGGAATGTGGATTGTACCACATAAAAAATGGACATGTAATCAATATGGACAGCCTATCATGCTGAGGTGGACAGATACACATTTAAAATAATATTTGATCTCCAACGCCATCCTCAATTTAAGTCTTCTACGTCACAAGATAATGAAACTGCCGGTATGGTATTACTCCGTATTTGGTACTATTCATTATACATAGTATTTAAAAAACAGAGGAAATTACGAAGTAGAGGTGGTTTAAATTTCGTCGCCGGTGAAAGTGAAGAAGAACCATTTGTGAAGGAAGCTTGGTCAGGGAGGAGAAGATTTAATTACGTGATCTCCAAAAAAAATTGACATATATACTTGATTGAGGCAAGACAACCACCGTCTCTGAGTCTAGATCGATTCACTACAGGAACCGGAAGAATGAATGCTGAAGTTTATTCCAATTCAATGACCTTTCGGCATCTGCTATGAGAAAGAAGTCTGGGTGGCCCCCAATTGCAAGTTTGCAACTCCTCAAGGTAATTAATTAAGGCTGAAGCCCCAATGATATATATCCTTTGCAGAGAAAGCTGACGGGATGGAGATAAAAGGGAAGATACTTACCCAACAACATCGAAAGAGACCAAAGAGAGTGTTCGAGCTTTGGAAAATGGAAGGGAAGGTCGTCTCCGCTTTGGGAGTTGGGAGAATCGGAAAAAACAATCGCCGGAGAAAAAAGGGTGCCGGCCGCTGCCGCCTTAAGGATGAGTGCGACTGAGGACAAGGGTCTGCGACTTGCGAGTTGGTGGCACTCCTGTAGCGGAGAGGTTTATTTGTTGCCGGATGGGAACAGAAGCTAGAGCTCGTGAAGAATTATGTATTATTCCGTATAATAAATGCTATTGCTGAGTCAGAGTGTGAGATAGACCTCCTATAGCTAGAAAGCGAGATACACGCCGTCCGTTGTTTGGAAATACAGCTCAGCACCATAGACAAAATGTACATTTGCGTTGGAGATATTTTTATTTACCGAAGTTTGACGTGGCAATGGATTTAGAGCAATTGATGCTCCCATTAAAGATGCTCTAAGGGGTTAATTGAACACTTTAAGTTAGTTCATGTACCTATTTGACCGTTTAGCCTTGAACAAATACGATACTCCGTAATGGGTTAGAAGTGTTTTCCAATAATAAACGGAGGCCCTTTTTCAATCGATTTTATGGGCCGTTAAACTTTAGCCATCCCTAATCAGAACTGCCGTTCAAGATCCCCCAAAATCAGGCAGCTTAATCCATCCAACACGATCAGAGAAGATGAGTCTGGGGAAGGTGGGAAAGTTCACAAGAAACATCCTAGACCAGAAACGCCGATTTCTAGCGGCGAAATGTGAAGTGAAGAGGAAGCTCTACAAAGCTATATGTAACGACCCTTCTCTTCCGGCGGAAATGCGTGAGCAGCACCGTCAGAAACTGTCGGAGCTTCCCAGGAATAGCTCCTTTACCCGATTGAGGAATCGGTGTATCTTCACGGGTCGTCCTCGTGCTGTTTACGAGAAGTTTCGAATGTCTCGGATCGTCTTCCGTGCCTTAGCCAATCAGGGTGCTCTCCAGGGAGTCAAAAAAGCATCTTGGTAGCGTTATCCAGGTATATTGTGATCATAAATTCTGCTTTCTAACAATTTACTCCAAGTATTTCTTCACAATACTAATTAGTTCAAATTGTTCGACGATATGTTAATTATGATTGTTTTCTTTCATAAAGTGTAGCACGCATTACATTTACATACAGTGAAAGGATCTGAGTCATGGTTTAATTAACTCTTCTGCGAAAGAAAATGACTAGAATATAACTGTGGCACTTCGATTTGTGGAATCTAAGGATATAAGGCGTGAATTTGTCAATCTCTTTAAGAAGCCGAGAAGAAACTAATGACTCTTGAGATACAATAAAGGTGTAGAAACAATTTGACTTAGGCTGTTTTTGAGAATGTTAAGAACAATTGTTTTCCTTAAAGATCCTAAGTACTCAATCTGCTGTAGCAAGTAAAGCAGTCACTTAACCTCCACAGGGAAGTTATCTGTTTGTGCATATGACAGATTAATATCCATTATGAAATTTATCAATGACATGTTACAATGCAACAACATCCAAGCCTTAGTCCCAAAAGTTTTTGGGGTCGGCTAACATGAATAGATGCATGATATCGGAGCCAAAAGTGAAATGGCATGTTACAAAGAAGTTGTAAATTCCATTACCTCTTCTTCCATTGCTGAAGTGTGATAATGGCATAAGATTTACCCAAGATGATTGGCACGGAATTAAGATGGATTTAACTCAACAAATTCTAGTTAGTGTTGTGAAGTTATTCCACACCAGTGAAATATTAAATATAAAATACAAATCAACATATAATTTATAAGACATTGGACTATTTTTATTAAGTTGACTTTTAAGTTGGAACCCTATTAAGCTCAAAGGAGCAACTATTTGACTAAGACTAAAAAACAAGCACACAAGACATGAGCCAACATTTTACATGACGAGTTAAGTCATTTCATTCTGGTCAAATATAATGCTCCAAGCTAATATAGGTTGATCTTGTAAGATGGAATGTTGAGTCAAACTGTGTTCAAGATCTCATTTATTCCCCTAATATAATATGAGCATAAACCTACTATCAGCCATTACATGACCATAAAACAGCAATGAGCTAACGCTATAGGATGCTCTTAGCTGTGTCATTTAAGATTAAGGCACTTCTGAATTACCATTTACACGATGAAGAATCCCAACCCACTTTTGTACTAGGCCCATGTTAATGGTGGTCTGTTACAAATATTACAGGTGCCTTACACAAAGATCCCACTTTTCTTCCTATTTGCAGTTGTGCTGAAGCCCTTACTTGTCTTGGACTCCCGGTTTTTATTTAAATGCCAACTTTGTTACACTATGCTTAGGGAGGGAGTAAATGAGTCCCACTTGAATTTGGAGATGGAATGTAGCGGTCATATTAACTTCTTCATAATTTGGCAGATGATATTGCAGGAAGTGAAGTTGGTAGCTTCCTGGGGCTGATCCTTAACAGCATTTGAATCAGAAGATGAAAGTGGAACTCAAACATCTAGTCTTGTGTTTGTTCTGTCAATTATCACAACATTGAACAACCTTGTTTGTTTCTCAGAAATTTAGTTAAATTATGTATTGATAAACTAGTAATTTCTCAGATGAATTTTGTTATGCATAGATGCATACGACGAAGTGACATCAATAGAAATTGCTACCCATATGTACTCTTCCAAATACTTTCAACTTTTGCATGACCTTTGTCATTTGCGAGAGTTTTGCCGTCAAAGGTTCTCGAATATGAAAATCCGGCGTAAAGGGGTTGACGCAGTTTTGGAAGTCAAACCAGTCAGCACGCAGCTAAAGCAGGATTTTGTCATGTAAAGTTTTTGGTTCTATCGAATGGAATGTTCCACACTTTGATGGCTTGACTAATGTTTATTAGCCTCTCACTATACTACGTGTAAATCCATTCCAATGCAAGTTCAAATGTTCAGTTCTCTCGGTAGTGAAAATTTAAGCTCACATAATGATCATTCCAAATAAGAGGCTGGAAAATGAGACTTGTACATGTTCTATAAACGCAAAATTACATTTTTGTACAAATCAAAGTATTCCGTTGATCCATCTGCATGTTCTATAAGACTAATAAACACTATCTCCCTCTCGATTTGAAATGATCAACTCACCCATCAATTGATTTGTTTTGCATTCAAGTGAGAGCCAAAAACCCATTTTATGCAAAATAGAGCATTACTTAGAGGCTAGAGCCAAAAACAATCGTTTACATTTTAAAAATGTATACTTTTTTATGTAAAAAAACATGAAAAGTGGACAATGGGGAAGTTTATTTCTGGTATGTCTCATCATGATGTGTTTGGTTTCAAACCCCCCCTGATTGTATTCTGGATGCTATGCACTCTGATTTTATGAGTGATATTTAATATGGAGTAGTTTAAAAAAACATGAAAAGTAGACTAGCAAGCTCAGTTGTGGCCTGTGGGTTCTGTGCGACTTTCGTGTGGGTTCTGTGTACCTATCGTGCATAAGTTGTTATGGAGTATCTTTTTTTCTATTTTTTACTCCGTAAGTAAAAGCTGATTTTTTAGGGGCTGACTGCGGTGAAATAAGAATGAAAATTTCAAAAATATACTCGAGAAAAAAGGCTGTTCGAAAAGAGCACAAAACTTTACAGGTAAGATCAATAAAAAATATAGCCATATAGTACAATTCCCATATATTACACCTTTAAACACTAACAAGTTCAAGTTGTATCAGTACACAAAATATACAATGAAGGTATGCTAGCGGAATCTAGAGGGAATATATTCATCTATCCTAAGGGGATAGCTATAGAACTCCTCATTCCGGCTATCTCCCTTCCTTTGCTGGAATGGGGCTAACCATGGCACGCCTCGCTCTTCCAATCTATGTCGAGCTTCAAGCGTGTTGTCCAGAACTGTCCCCACTATCATTGCAACACTTGCCGATGAAGAGAAGATCGTATTCAATATGTCATTGAACTGTAAAGAAAGCGAAAAAATCTCATTCACCAGAATATTAAGCTGAGTCTGTATCCAGATAGATTTTTTTAAAAAAAAATATCAAGTTAGATTTAAAAACAGGAAAGAATAATAAGTATAAAGGAGTTGGTACCTCTTCCATCCCCAAAGAGAGTTGCATTTCTAATACTAATATTAGAAATGTGACTCTCTTTTTGGACAGAAGGGGTGTTTTCTTACCCATCCCGCATGAGTCCTAAGAGGCCCATGTCCGTCAACATATGTCCGCTTGACAAAGTATTGCGGTATGGATATTCCCAGGAATAGAGACACACCGAAGACATATATGTTTCGCATTGAGTTGCTATTTGCAAACTGAATGAACGAAATCCCAATTGCAGCTGCAATACATAGCAAGGGAAAAATGATATTTTAGGTAAATGAATACTACAAATGCCAAAGACCAAGGCCCCATTTGGAAAGGGTTGTCTAACTAAAATGATAGAATCTGTTGAAATTTCTGAAAGGAAAACCGTTTCATAGCCAAAAAAGGAAGTCAAAAACTACTTACTGTAATTAGTTTTATAATTTTGCTAAAAAGCAGAATATAAAAGGGACCTGAGAGAGTGTGAGGACTCACCAACAATGCCGTACAGAATGCAATATATAGCAGCAAATATGGGCAATGGAATAGAAGCAAAGAAAGCTCCAAATTTCCCTGCAATAGGAATCATTCATGGTTTGGTAACATAGTTCATGATTCAGTTAAAATATGCTTATAAACCTTTGATATTCATGCAAAACAAATGAATTTTGAGTCAGCAGAGAGCAAGTCAAACCAAATATAGAAAAGAAGATCATGAAAACACCGGATATCTCCACAACTCTTCTGCTTCCAACTCGAGTTAGTCCGAGTAAGCCAACATTCTCACTGCACATTTTCCCACACCTCAAGTCAGGGAAAAAATGAATGCATATAGTGTAGACTTGAAGTGTATTATTAGTTGCTTACACCGATGCAGTAGTGCCAACAACACCACCAAAAAACCCATCAAGGAGATGTCCTAAACCCTGCCCATGTAATAAAATGAAAAAAAAAAAAGTAACCACACCATAAATTTAATGTATTTAAAGTCCCAAAAAATTGTGACAACTTGGTAAGAGTATAAAGAAGGATATGTTTTTCCACTAACCTGAAGGCCAATGCTTCTGTTTATAACAAATGCTGGAGGAGCTGTGGCACCTGCAAGCCTTGACGCTGCATAAAATGTCGTAATGGACTGCAAAGCAGAAACTCCCAAGTCATAAACTCCCCAATTAAGTAAAACATTTTGCAAATTCTTTAGTGTCTGTTTTGAATTCAGAGGCTGTTAGGGAAAAAAGATTGGGCAGGAAACAAACAGTGGGGGGGGGCTATACTAATCAACTTGAGACATGTGTTTGGACTCATTTATTTATATGTTGAAGAGCTAAGAAATGTAAGCATAGGTTATTTTCTTGAACCTAATTCTTTACATTTTTAAACATAAAACCAAATATAAAACCCATTTTCCTTGGTCATATTTTCTTTCCCCAATGTTTACCGAATTCCAAAGACACTATTAGCCTCAAGACATTTCGTTTCAGTAAACACTAAACAGAATAAAATTTTCCCACAAAAGAATAAACATAAAGAAAAACTGAGAAAGACAGACCTCAGCAGATGTAACAAGGGCAGCACCCATCATTCCAAAAACATGGCTAGCTCTAAATATAGGAGGACCCCACTGAAAAGGATATGGAATCTTGACCCTATACCAAACAGAGCGCTTCAGTGAGAATAAGTTATTATAGTTACAAAACAGAAAGGCAGGAAGACAGATTCCTAATATGGACACTGATAGTAAGTACCATGGAGCAGATGAAATAAGGAAGGAATGGTCCGTACGGCAACTCTGCTTCGTGATCTCCTTTACATGTTTGTAAGCACCAGCTTCAGTAAGAATAGCCGCAAATGCCCAGACCAGACCAATGCAAACCAGCAAAGCAAATCTCTCCAGCATGGGACGTGCTACTGGATGAATCCGTTGCAGATACTGTAGATTCTGAGTTATTAGTTTTAATAGTTTGTGCATTGCCATTAAGATATTATTATTGTTAAAAGTTTAATTGTCATTTTTTATTTCATTTCAGTCATATTGGCTGTATTTCATCATATCGAAGATAAACTCATATGTACTATTTTTTAAAATTAACACAACCATTCTTATAAATAATACGGAGTACAACTTTCTGCATTGTGGTTTTGACAGTGCACTAGTAAATGTGAGTGGATTAAGTAACATTACCTGTTGGAATATAACAAGCAGAACTAGCATAGGCAGCCCAATCTCGACACAATCAGCCAGCTGCACAAGTAGAGGAGAATACACCGTACTAATAAGTAAATAAACAAAGTTAACAAACAAATAAGTTTTATGCCAATTCATACTCCTCTGGTTCTTATTAAGGTTAATGGGAGCATAGAGTATTGAGGTATTCATCACCCTTCAGGTAGGAAACATTCACCCTTCCCCTACCTTAGTTGGCCCCAAAAAGACTGGCACCTGCACGACAGGTGCACGACAGTAGCACAATAGGTGCATGACTCTAGCATAATAGGTGCACAGCACCCACAAGACAAGTGCACGGCATGTAGGTTTAGTTTTTTTGTTTGATTTTTTAATCGGACTATGTAGTTCCTTAATTATGATATTTGTAAACAAATTATAATCAAATAATTAATGTTTTTGTAGCAAAAAGTTTTGAAAGAGTGAACATAGTGACTTCAAGTATAATGTGCATCAAAAAGCTGACTAACAGGGTGAATGCATTATTTACGAGGAGACAATATCTAGTGTTATTGACGGTGTAGGATGCAGATGATCTTAGAGACAGGTATTTAATTTTCTTATTACAAAAAAGGTATTTTACCTGTGGGAAGCCCCTTGCAAACAAGCCAAGACCTAAAAGAGATACCAGCGGCACTAAAACAATGGGGCTGAAGAGTCTGAAATGGAGAAAGGCACAAAAGTAACTTTCAGGATTCACAATGAATTGATTCACAGTGAGGATGAACAAAAAAAAAAAGAACAAATTACTCCTTTGTCATAGCAAAGATAAATTAGAAGAAATAACTTTTCAGAAATGTTATATGATACCAACCAGTTAGCTTACCTTGTAAGATTCCCCCACACCCGGCCATATCCAAGAACAATATTGACAAATGAAGAGACAATCAGTGAACCTTGAACAGCTCTCATTGAGTGGAGAAATCTCTACAAGAGCAAACATAGAAACATATTCCAGTTAGGAAAGAGAAGTCAATAACGGGCTATAATATTTGCTTACTATAATAGCAAAAAAGGCACAATAAAGAATGATCACAATTTAAACACTGAATTTGATTTACCTCATGATCGGAGGGGAAGTTACCATCAGAAATGTCACTTATGACTGACAGTACTGATATAACATAAGCAAAGGAAGGACCCATTACTGTCGGTAATCGTGTCCCTAGAAGGGTTTGGAGGAGGGTATTCACTCCGGATGTAAATAGCAAAGTTTGAATAACATGGGCCTTATCACCCTGCTTGCAGTGTTAGTAAAATTCGTAGTTAGTACAACTTAGGATGATATTAATAGAATATAAGGACTGGCTTGTTGGGTTCAAAGACATTGGAGGAAGGGAGAGGGAATGATTGATTTTTATTTTACAAATCATTTCTATTTGTTAATCTGAGAGCAGAAAAACTACATGATTAGGTTTTTTATCTTCACTTTATTTAAAACCATCTAAATGCAAGTAGCTTAAACATAAATACTACCCCTTCCCTTGAAAAACCCGGAACCACACAAGCCCAAACTCTCATAAGCAGGTAATGCTAAAGGTATACCGCACGCCCACCCATACGAGGCACCAGAATGTTCACAATCATCACTGTGGTTCCAAGCATGACCACGTAATGTTGGAAAGCCAGCAGAAGGGTTTGAGCTGAAAAATGAAATGTCATAATTGACCTAGTAAGCCAAAGTTCATAATCAACACATCCATAAGAGTCATCACATATGAAATTCACTCACTTATATCAACCATCATATAAGAGAGATTTGCAAACCTTAATGTTTAGACTTTTGAATGAAGCTCAGGCTAAAACTCTTATATGTTGTTAGACCTGCTACTGGGTTAGGATTATTTATAACTTGTATTTTAACTTTTTAAAACGTTAACAAAGCCCGAATTCATGGGCGAATTAAATGAAGTACCAGATGAGGCTATAGCCATACTAGAAATTTGTTTTTCGTTTTTATTTACAGAAAATCAATAGGCTCATTTATTGACAGATATCTGAAGCAGTTCGGGCCCGAATGACAACAAACTTTACTCAATCACCTTTATAACTAAGGTAGAAACTAGAAACACAAATTTACAATTCTGCTTGAGATTTTGCAAATTGATAACAGCTTTTGTGTCTTCAGAGTTCAGAGATGTCAAACGTAGCTGATTTTCATGAAGGAAGACCAACCTCACAAGAGTCACTGTTTTTTTGGGTTAGTTTTCATGTGATTCATTAATGTCACGTCAATGTTTGAGATTTGTTTCTTGAGATTTGATTTTTATTGACATTTGTTCAATAGGGAGTACAACATTAAATTTTTTGGGATTTGACTCTAAAGTGAAATTTGAGTTCTGTATAAACATTATTATTTCCATTTGAAAGTAATAATACTTTTTTTGATGATTTACAGTTTCGGAGTTTCCTACCTTTGAGTCATTTCTTTATTTCATTTAATGCTGTTTCTTGAGTAATTTGATTTCATTTGCAAAACTTACCTTTTGGCCATACCTAGTTAGATTCCTGTATCCACTATTTCCCAAATGCAAGAAGATGAAAATTTCCATACTTGGTCTGAGTACATTTGCTACAGATTTCCAATCTCTACTTGTTTTTCCTACACTCTCCTTCTTCTGTTAATTCTCCAATGTGGAAAACATGTTTACAACAACTATTTCATATTGTCTCAATTCAAGTATATTTTGCAACCGTTGTTGGTACCATGCGCGTAGACATAGGGGTAAACATGAACCCAGGTTAGCTAATAATTATTTCTCCATGGGTAAGTTTTTAGTGTAAAAATGTATATGAATGGCAGAATGGGTTATTTTTAGCCCAGGCCAACCCTACTTGGAAAATTTTGGGGCTTAAACTACACCACTGGTCGGCAATGATAACGGTGGTTAGTGTTATTGACGATGGTCATTAGAAGGTGGTCATCGTGAATGGTGGTTAAGATGGTTTATGACTATGTGGCGATGAGAATAGTTGGTAGGAGAGGTAATTAGAGAAGTTTACTAGTGGTTTATGTTCGATCGTGATGGTTAATAGTAAGACTTTATATTATATTTCAAAAGATCAACCTAATAGGGAAGCCGATGTGGTATGGACTTAATATGCCCACAAGACGCGTGGCTCATAAGAGTATACCAATCTTGAATCCATGTGCTCTTTTCGAGTCTTGATCCGATCGACTACTCTTTGAGCTCAATTGGATTCAAGACCATATAAAGACTTAAAATGTCATCCAAAAGGTAAACCATATAAGAGACTAGATCAAACACTTATATCTTGGTTTGTATATTTATATTGTGCTAGTGTGGAAATTGCTTAATAATTAACTGCATTTGTCACTTTATAATAAGAAACGTGACACGACTTTTCTTCGGTTTACTTTTGTCCGCATCCTACCGACAAAATTGTTCAGTCTCATCTCTTTGAGATTTTCTCTAGCAATTAAGGAATGTTTTTGTCTTCTTTACTTTTGTCTGACTAATGTACTTGTGAAAAATGAGGCTGCACGTAATAGAACTATGCACTGTATCTTTGATTTTTTTACCTTTTACGTTGCCACAGCTTTAGCTATATTTTTGGCATGTTGCCTTTTCTCACTAGGAACTCCGCTGGGTCTTTTCCTCATTATAATTATATACGGAGTAAGTATTACTATTACTGTCCCTGTAGTAGCATATTCCAACCATAAATCTTATTACTTATCTCCTTCCTTTCTTAATCTAAAGTTTACAAGCTGCAACATAAATATTCCTGGTCATTTTACTTTTAGCTGCAAAAAAAATGGAACTTAGAAGTCCCCTATATTCTTTTCCTGTCGAGTTCAAATTTAGTTCTTCTTGTATTACTTTCCACATACCAAACAGAGCCCGAAACTAACCCCACTTCCTGGTCCCAAATCTTGATTATTAGCCAAATTCCCTTATTAGTAGATCCTACCAACCCCAGTACCATTATTAAACTGTTAAGTTAATCACTCCCATTCAACCATCAAAGTATATAGCTTAAATTCCAGAACCTAGAGGCTCAATCCTGTGCTTCAAACTAATGTCTATTAATTACTTCCTCTGTACAAAAGGAAAGAAATCATGTCTCAAACACCTTTTGAGTCCAAAAAAAGAGAGTCCAGTTTGGTCAAACAAAGATAAGATATCATGTAATTTTCCAAAATAGTGCCAAAAAAGCCAGAGACAAATTACATGTGACAAATTTAGATAAAATAGCAAATAAATTTAAAGATAAATAAATATGAATCATGATATATGACAGTTGTATCATGCTATAATTAAAAGATTGTACATTTGTTAGTCGGGATTTTTCGGAAGGACGGGGGAGTATTTAACTTATTCATAGTCTCTGACTCTCTACAGAATATAAGAAAGTTGCATACTCATAAAGTTAGGTATCTTTCATAGGATATTCTACAGTTAACTAACACTTCAACTAAAAATCCATCTGTGTGACTGTATTCACGTGTTTATCCAATTTTATCCATGTAAAGAAACTTTAGAATATCCATGAAAAAGCATAGCTTTTTGGGTATATACAACTTTATTATTATATTCTGTACTTATGTTTGAAAAAAGTGTATCATAGAAAAAGTCGGTGATGCCTTTTCCAGCTCAAATTCTCACTCAGCGGCATTTCTTTAAACAATAAATCCTTATGTTTAAAATACTCCATATAGTAATGATTTATGGTTAGATACCAGCATAACATTATTGTACACTATGTGTTAAATGATGATCATTGATATGCAAAAAAATTATAGTCTCTGTCCCACCCATTGTAATTGCACTGCTCATGCAAAGAATAAAGACAGATTTTTTAATAATACTCCTATTTAATTCATATAAACAAATCAAATTGACATATACGTAGCACTAAAACTACTTAATTAACAAAAATCCAATGGGTGCTCTGGTTAAGTAAAAAATAACATGCACAAAATCACCAACCAAGATTTTCAATCAAAATCAGAAAAAGAAGACAAACAAGAAGCAGGAAAAAGACTGAAACTTGTGGGAGGAAGAGAACTGACGCCAGGAAGGGTTGGAGTGTATGCAGTAGTTCAGCTGGAGAAGCTGGTCGGCAGGAGGGTACACCGGTCCTCTTGCAGCACCGAGCGGCATCATCACCGCCGGCTGACCCGCCGCCGCCTCGGTCGGCGGTGCATGGTGGTTGTGATTTCCTGTCTCTCCCATCACTTCTCTCGATTGGGAAGCAAATGAAAACTCTGGGCAGAAAGGATTCAAAGCAAGATATCTTTGTAAATTAACTGATGAAACCCAAAATCCAAGTCTGGGAATTCCTCAAAGGCGAGAGCTTTATCGGGAATGAAGCTGGGATCTCCTCTTCGTTGAAAAGGGATTTGAAAGAAGGAAGACTGGAATATGTAGCGGAGAGCAGAAGTGAGGAGAGAAAGGTGTGATGAGAGAAGGGGTGGGGCAAGCTTCAACGTTAAACGCTTGTCCCTTTACGAGAAACGTTTAGCGGTGGGACCGGGTGGGCCATGCCACCGCATGGGTCCGCAAATTCCGAGGCGGCAAACGATTTTGCATACAGCCCCCTGACTTTATAAATTTGCTTCCACGTTCGATTGTTGTTTACACTTTACTTGTTTGGTAAAAGTAACTTGGCCCGCCACGTTACTTTTACTGCCACGATAAAAACCAGTACAAAATAAAACGACTCTTTTCATCATGAAATTAAGATGATCTACCCTCTTCAAGAAGTTGTTCCGTTCACCTGATCTGAATGTTTCTGATCTGAATTTTTTAAGTTCTGATCTGATCTGATCTGAATTTTTCTGATCTGATCTGATCTGATCTGAATCTTTCTGATCTGATCTGATCTGAATCTTTCTGATCTGATCTGAATCTTTCTGATCTGATCTGAATGTTGCTGAACTGATCTGAATGTTGCTGATCTGATCTGATCTGATCTGAATGTTTCTGATCTGATCTGAATGTTTCTGATCTGATCTGAATTCTTCTGATCTGAATCTTTCTGATCTGATTTGAATATTTCTATAATTGTAATTGTAATTACAATTATAATTATTAGATTTATAATTGTAATTAGAAATATAACTTAAATAAAATTACAATTATAATCATAATTATAAAGAAATAATAATTAAAATTAAATTTAAAATTATAATAATTATACCAATTACACTAATAATAAATACAGATACAATTATAAATGTAATTATATTTTTAATTATGATTAATTTTATAATTATTATTGTAATTATAATTATAATATTTATTTCTATAGTCATAATTATGTCTATAATTACTAATTTAAATATATAATTACTCCGAAGTAATAATAATTACAACAATAACAACAAGAACAACAATCATATTAATAATAATGATGATTATAATTATAATTACATTGTAAATCATAATTATAATTATAATTATAAATATATTATATTATATTATATTATATTATATTATATTATATTATATTATATTATATTATATTATATTATATTATATTATATTATATTATATTATATTATATTATATTATATTATATTATATTATATTATATTATATTATATTATATTATATTATATTATATTATATTATATTATATTATATTATATTATATTATATTATATTATATTATATTATATTATATTATATTATATTATATTATATTATATTATATTATATTATATTATATTATATTATATTATATTATTATAATATAATAATAATTTTATATTATTAACATTATTATTATATTATTATTAATAATATTATTATATTAATATATTAATATTATTAACAATAACTATAATATAATAATCATAATTAATATAATAATAAAAGTGATAAATCATGTTTGAATTTTTTGACCTGATCTGATCTGAATGTTTCTGATCTGGTCTGATCTGGTCTGAATCTTTTTTATCTGATCTGAATGTTGCTGATCTGATCTGAATCTTTCTGATCTGATCTGAATGTTTCTGATCTGATCTGATCTGATCTGAATCTTTCTGATCTGATCTGATCTGATCTGAATCTTTCTGATCTGATCTGATCTGATCTGAATAAAATAAGATTAAGGAATAAGTAATAAGATTAAGACGAACGGAACAGCTTCCAAGTCTTCTTAAATATATTCAATAACCCGTCTCTAAATAAATTTCCAACTTTCCTTTTTCGTCCGTTCCAATTAAAATTTCTGTTTTCCCATTTTGACCAGAATTTGTAGTTCAAAGCAATTCTTACACATTTCTTCCTCCTCTTCACAACTCTCCACCACACAATACTCAATATCTTAAACTGTGTGTCAAACCTATTTGGAAGATATAATAGGGACGGAGGGAGTAATTAACTTTACCTGTCGACAGACACGTAACCAACACCTACGTTGCACGGATTAAGATCCTACTTGGGATACTGTTTTTTTAGCTTATCAATTACGAGTACTACATATAACCATCAACTTTTTTTTTTTGAATGATATTATGATAACCATCAACTTTTTCATTATCAACTTTTTGAATTATAACCCCTTTTTTCAGCTTATAAGGTTTATTAGCCAGTTTTTTTATCAAACACGTAACTTTTGATTTCGTGCATTGAATTGCGTGGAAAAAAAGGTTGGAGTTACATTTCCGGCTGTATTGTCTGAAGTTATTGTAGATTATCATTTTAGTTATTCCTTCCGTCCGCTAAGATTGTCCCATTTTACCTTTTTGGGATGTCCCACTAAAATTGTCTCATATCAAATTCGGTAAATGTTGTGTGGCTCTAAACCATTCTTACTTTATTCTTACTTTATCAATTTAATATCAAACACACAAACTCACTTTTCTTAATAACCTTGTCACCTTTTCATGTCTCAATTTTAGTGGGACGGAGGTAGTACTTTTTAATATAATTTTTTGTTTTATGTATTAATAACAAATATTTTAAATATTTTTTTCATAAGTCAGCAGAATCAGTCAATACAGCCACTTCAGCCGAACTTCATAAATTGCAGCAGATTCAGCCACTTCAAACGGACCTTTGGTTTCTCGTAATGAATTGTGAAATAATCAAAATAAGTAAAGTTAGAATTACTTTTCCGGATGCATTAAGCCATTAACTGATGTTACTGTAGAGAAATATTTTAACTATTTTTCATATAACTTTTCTTTGTTTTATTAAAAATATGCACTACTTTTTTAAACATAAATTTTTCATAAATTAACAGAATTAGCCGGTGTAATCACTTTAGTCAGATTTTCATAAATTCCAGCAAAATCAGACGATTCAGCCAATTTAACTGTTAGCAAACGAGTTTTATATATGTAATTGAATTAATCATATAAATTAGGGAAAAATAATTTAACTATCTCAAACATTGAACGGGCGTACGTGGAGTATCTCAAACTTGCACATGTAATATATATATATATATATATATATATATATATATATATATATATATATATATATATATATATATATATATATAAACACATATATATGTACCTTAATCTTTATCTTTATACAAAAAGTTATGTTAGCACCACGATTATATGTTTTTTTCACTAGTGTAATATTTTGGAGTAATACACAAATCACTTATGAGGATATAATTAAAATTAGATTGTACCGGATGTTATTTTATTTACGTCACAAATGAAATTTAGAAATTTTAATTGCATACAGACAAAGTTTACAGTATTTTAAATTATGTACTTATTTATTGCAATAAACTCAAATTTGTAAAAACATATCATCATGGTGTGAAAATAACTTTTTATATAAAATTCGAGATATATATTACATATAGAAGTTTGGGGAATTTAACTTACCCCTTCAAAGTTTGCGACTTTTATATTATTTTTCCCTAAAAATTAATCCTTCCGTCTCACTATACTTTGCCAACTTTCTTTTTTATTTGTTTAAAAAAAGAATTTGTGACTATGTGCAGGGACGGCGCTAGGCATTGCATTGTGGTGTCAATTGGCAACACTGGAAAAATTAATGTGTATATGTATATATAAATGTTCGTTGAAATTTGAAATAATGACACCATAGTTTTTAAAAATAAGGTCATATATATGAAATGACACCACATATTTCTCAACATCTACTCTCTTTATCTAACAATTTTTTTCAAGTTTGTTTGAAACAAAGATCAATAAAATAAAAACTATTTTTCAGACAAAATTTAAACAATGATTTATATACAAGTACTACTTAGTGATTTCGAAAGTTTCTGAATATATATTTCTATGTATAGATTTAGTTGATGCATAAATACTACTCCGTATAAATGAAGTCAATATTTGAATGATTGAGTAAAGACTTTAAAGTGAACACGAGAAAGTGATAAGCGATGTTCTAAGTAATTCTCATAAAACTATAAAAGGTTGTACTTATTCGTTAAAATATAAACACTACTTATTTATTAATATTTTTATGCATTATTATATTTATAATACTACTTAAACTGTTGACACCATTGATATTACTGTCTGGCTCCGTCCCTGATTATGTGCATTTTTCTCTCATATGCACAAACATCATTCGCACCGTTTTTAATATCCCAATTTTACACTCAACATTAACTTGAGTGGGACGGAGTTAGTATTTCTCTGATGACATATAGTTAAAAGTTATTCACTCTTTTTATCCCCTTTACTTATCACATTTTCAAAAAATTTATATTTTCACATTTTCGTACTTAAAATGTTTTATCCAACTTTATCAAATTCTATTTCCTACTTTCTTTCACGTTTTTGGACGGCTGCGAGATTCTAGCAATTTGACGGCGGCTACCTGGAGGAAAATTATGACGAACGGTGAATACAGCCGAATTTAAAAGTCTATAAACTTTTTTAAATTATATAATCTTATTCATGAATTTATACAAATTAATAGAGTTCATCTATAAGAAGTTCATGGATTTGAAAGTTGATAGGTTCTTTAAAAGTCTCTGGATTTGATAACGTGCACCACAATCCACATACAAAGTATAATGTATGCCTAAATTGATTTTTTAAGATTCAGCAGAACTTCTTGACACTGTATAATCAAATGACTTAATTTTCAGAAGATAATTGCGCCCAAAATATACATATATTATCTTCCAAAAATTATTTGACAATCTTTTCGATTGAATTTTTAGCTGGATTTTTTACTCAATTGGGAAGACGGCCAAACGACGGCGGTTCTGTCCGGATTTCTAGACATGAACTATTCTCTCCCATTGTAATTGTACTTCTCATGCAAAGAATAAAGACGGATTTTTTTAATAGTACTCCTATTTATCCTTTCAAATAAATTATACTCCTATTTAATTAATAGGGAGTATAAACAAATCAAATTGACAAATACGTATCACTGAAACGACTTATTTTACAAAAAATGTAACGGGTGTGATAAGAATTACTCATCTTCATCAGGGTGCCACTACACGGCCAAAATCAGCAACCAAGATTTTCAATCAAAATCAGAAAAAGAAGGCAAATTAAACAAGAAGCAGGAAAAAAGACTGAAACTTGTGGGAGGAAGAGAACTGACGCCAGGAAGGGTTGGAGTGTATGCAGTAGTTGAGCTGGAGAAGCTGGTCGGCAGGAGGGTACACCGGTCCTCTTGCAGCACCCAGCGGCATCATCACCGCCGGCTGACCCTCCGCCGCCTCGGTTGGTGATTCGTGGTGGTTGTGATTCCCAGTATCCCCCATCACTCTAGCTATCACTTCAATTCTCTCGATTGGAAGCAAATCAAAACTACGAAAGAAATACGAAGGAAAGGATTATATAGCGAAAGAAGAAGTGAGAAGTAAGGTGTGAACGGGGAAGGAGTTGCGATGAGAGAGGGGGTGCGGCAGGCCGGTTACGTTCAACGTTAAACGGCTGTTTGCTGACGAGAGGCGTTTCGCGGTGGGCCATGCCACCGCATAGGTCCTTATTCCGATGCAGCATTATCTTTTGCATAACGCCCCCTCATTTCTGACTTTATAGTACTTCATCCCACGCTCGAGGTATAAAATTGTACGGAATACTTTCTTGTTAGCAGACCACTTTACTTTTTACTTGTTTCCAATCGCATCTGCTTTTACAAAAATGTTTTTTTAACGAAATGGAGATACGTTTTTAAATAAAATAAAAGTTGATAGTGTTCATAAAAGTGATTTTGAAAAGTAAAAGTGAGTATTGTTTGGTAAAATAAGTGCTTTTTGTGTAATAGAAAAAGTAAAAGCACTTTTGACGCGGAGGTCGAGAAAAATAAAAGTTGTAGTGTTTGGGAAAATAAGTGTTTTTTTAATCCAAAAACTGAGAAGTGCTTTTTTAAAAGGAGATGCAAACCAACCCCAAGTGTCCTTAAATTTTATTAACTTCACCGGTCAACGACACGTGACTATCACGTAAGTTGTACAGCTTATGTGTGGATGTTTTCTTTTAGATTGAAATTTGTTGGTCTGGTCTGAACTGATCTTGTCTGGTCTGGTAAACATCTGGTCTCTGTGTATTTTATAACTATGAAAGTCTGGTCTGGTCTGATCTGTTTAAGTCTGGTCTGGTCTGGTAAACGTCTGGTCTCTGTGTATTTTATAACTATGGAAGTCTGATCTAGTCTGATCTGTTTAAGTCTGGTCTGATCTGGTTTGGGACTCAAAACAGTCCAAAAGAAAACATCCTTAGTAAACTTGTTCGGAGACTTATCAACTACGGATTAACTTTTTATTAAATGACTAGTTTGACTATGTATAAGATGATTTTAGTTATTTCTTATACGGAGTATAATTTTTTAATCTACTTAATAATACTACCTCCGTCCTCTTTTAATCGCAACATAGGATTTTTTGCACTATTCACATATTCTACTTTGACTATAATTTATTTATTAATGAACTATAAATTAATTTATTTACTAATAAGGAATGAAAGATATTAATGATTAAACTTGTATGTTGGCAAACGTGAAAAGTGGATCGTTGCTATTAAAAAATAACGGAGGAAGTATATAATTTCAATACAATTTGTTCCATATATCGGCAGAATCAATCATTTCAACCATTTCAACCACAATTTTATAAATTTCAATAGAATCAATCAGATTTGAATATTACCAAACTCACTCTATATATAATGAATTAGTCAGGAATAGAATTGTTTGATGAGTAATAGTTAGCATATTTTGTTTCTTATTTAAAAATTCATGATGCAATATTTTGTTGTGAATTGATTTTTGGAATTTTATCAATTCAAGACCCGAAAGATAGACGAATTATCAATCCGGGACCTGAAAGATGAAATGCATCGATATAGGACCCAAATGATGAAAAACTATCAATTTAGGACCTGAATGATTGGAAACTATCAATCTAGGACCCAAGTTGTTATGAATTTTATTATTATTTTTTTAAAAATTTTAAATATTAATTAGTTTTATTAAACTAATAAACTTTTGTGAAGAAAAGTTTATCAAAAATTAGTAATGGATTTAATAAAAAAATTAAATAAATCAAAACCTATGAAATATTAGGTCCTAAATTGATAGTTTTTCATCATTCGGGTCCTATACCGATACGTTTCATCTTTCGGGTCCTGAATTGATAATTAATCTATCTTTCGGGTCCTGAATTGATAAAATTCCTTGATTTTTTCTTGGTCATTTTGCATTTTTAATAGGGAGTACAAAATTCTTTAAAATATGAAAATAAAATGAGTATATTCTTGATCAAAAATATTTCATAAAAGTATTAGTTTTATAAATCACACACAAATATAATATAAAAAATCATGAACTAAATTTTAATAACATTAAAAAAATCAAATTGATCAACCTTTTCGAAATAAAGGAGTATTAAAATGAGACTGAGTAATTGATTTATGGACTCGTACAACTAATACGAGTTACACCGTATTATCTATTCATAGTTGCCGCAATTTAAATATGTGCCTTTGATAAGGCCGGATTGACTCAAAAGTTCCGCCATCATGAAATTTAGACAATCTACAGGCTTTTCCTTTTCAGCTTTTCATGATTAAAAAAAGTTGAAAAGAGTGTTTTCAAATGATAGTTTCTGCTTAAATTAATCACTTAAAAGGTAAAAGCTGGAAGCAGATAGAAAGGTGCTTTAAACTGCTTCTCACTTTTTCTATTACACAAAAAGTACTTATTTTACCAAACACTACCAACTTTTACTTTTTCAGAATCACTTTTTTCTCAAACACTACCAACTTTTACTATTAATCAATTTTCCCAAAATCACTTTAAAAAATCACTTTTTTAAAGTTGAAGCAATCACAAACACTCTCTACTTATACTCCGTCACGTCTACTTATACTCCGTCACGTGACTAACACGTATGTTGCACAGATTATGTGTCTCTTGATCGAAGATTTTTAGTTTTATCAGCTAACTTTTGATTTACGCCCTAAAATGTGTAATAATAAAAAATAATTAACTTGAAGTTTTTTGTAGCTGATTGAAATTATTGTAGAAGATAATTTTATCAATTTTTTATATAATTTTTTCTACATTTAATTTAAAAATATATCATTTAAAACAATTTGTTTCATAAATCAGCAGATCAATCATTTCAGAAATGAAACTGGCATCTCCTCTTCGTAAAAAATTTGAAAAAAAGAAAGACTCAATTATCTAGCGAAGAAGTAAGGAGAAAGGTGTGAATGGGGAAGGAAGTGTGATGAGAGAGGGCTGGGGCTGGGGCAAGGTTTAACGTTAAACGCTTGTTCCTTTATGAGAAGAGAGAATTCCCTTAATGGAAGTAAAAACGTTGTGAAATTTCAAAATACGACTGTCATAGTTTTTATTACCCGAATATGAGTAAGTTTCTGCCAAGTTTGGCATTATTACGCTTAAAAACATGACATTTTTTTTCAAACTTGGCAGATTACTTTTATTCAAGGAATAAAAATCATAATAATCTTATTTTGAAATTTTAAAACATAATAGAACAAAAAACATTTAGCGGTGGGCCCCGGTGGGTTGTGCCACGGCATGGTCTACAAATTTCGATGCGGTGTAATTTTTTGCATATTGCACCCCTCATTTCTGACTCTATAGTCTATACTACCCACATTCGATTGTTGTTTAGAAAAACTGGTACTTTCTACTTGACCCGTCACGTTACTTTTTGTCTTTTTTACTTCCACAGTATATTTGTAACATGGAATAAATCGACTTTTTCCCGCATCCTGAAATTGTAACACTCCTCAAGGTTCCTTAAATTTAATTGACTTTAGTAGTCAACCGGCACGTAACTAACACGTACGTTGCACATATTATTGGATGTGTATTATTTACTTCTTATTTAAAAATAATACGGAGTACTCTTTTGTTTTGAAAAATTCGGCACGTAACTAACACGTACGTTGCACAGATTTTTGGTACGTTTTTTTATCTGTCCTTCTTTCCTTTTAAGAAAAGTTTTTACTCTAAATATACCTTTATACCTCAACTTTTATTACGATTACCCCTTTCTCTTTCCTACTTTTTCATTTACCCACTACTCATTACACCTTTTACACTACCCCTACTATTTTCCTCTTAAAACTCGTGCCAAAGCCTAAGGAGACTAATATTAAAGAACGGATGGAGTATTACATAGAACCGATTTTATGTTCTGTTTCAATAATACTTTTAGTATATTTTAATTTAATTTCTTGCAGTATGAAAATAAAGTATACTTAATTCAATTTATATGTCTTTATATCATCCCTTGAACTTAGTATACTTTGTATTGTTGTTTGACGAGAATTAAATAGTTTCGATTGATTTTGATTTTATATGATGAGAAAAGCAAGTCGGTAAAAATTGGAACAAAGATAGTGAATGGTAGAGTGATATATAGGACTGGTAGAGATGGAGGGTGGAAAAGAAAAGTTGCAAAGGAGGAAGCAAGAGCAGAATGACACGTGGCGTCAGGACAGTAAATCGGTCCCCTTGCTGCACCGAGAAGCATCATCACCGGCGGCTGACCCGCCGCCGCCTCGGTTGGTGGTGCGCGGTGGTTGTGATTCCTTGTATCCCCCATCATCAGTCTATCACTTCTAGCTCTCGATCGGAAGCAAATCAAAACTGTGGGCAGAAAGAAAGATCAAACCCAAAATCCAAGTCTGGGAATTTCTCAAAGGCAAAAGCTTTGTCCAAATACGAAAGACTGGATTATATAGCGATTTAGCGAGGCAGAAGTGAAGAGAAAGGTTCAACGTTAAACGCCTGTTTGCTTACGAGAAGCGTTCCGAGGCCTGTAATAGTGTTTGCATATTGCCCCCTCTGTTCTGACTTTATACTACTTCGTCCCACGTTCCATTGTTGTTTGGAAAAAATTGTGCGGAGTACGTGCTTTCTTCTTATCCACGCCACGATACTTTTTACTGCCACGGTAAAGAATAGTACAACATAAATCGACTTTTTTGACATCCGCTATCATGAAACTAAGATAATCTACCCTCCTCAAGTGTCCTAATTAGGTTTAATTATCTTTACTAATCATCCGACACGTAACTAACACGTACGTTGCACAGATTATATACGTACGTAATTTTATTCATCGTAAAAATTATTGGTTTGATGAGTAATAAGATAGCATATACTTACTTCTTATGTAACATTCATTAATAACACAATACATATCTGGTTTTATTGAAGATTTGTTCATCACTCTTTTTGTTCTCTTTTACTTGTCACATCTAAAAAAAATACTATTTGTCACATTTTTGTACTTAAAGAGGTTTCATAGGACACGTAACTAACACGAATGTTGCACAGATTACATACTCGTATGTAATTGAATTAAGGAAAATACCTAAATAGGAGTAAAAAATTTTGGGGATTTCAAAATAATAGCACTATGTTTTTCATGAAATAGGAGTCATTACTGTCATGATATAATAATTATTGAGAAATACTAACATTAATTATAATAAATACAGTCATGTTGAATGCATATTACTGCAACTATTTGACAGTCATGATTAAAAGATGGTATTAAATATTGTCATCTTAGTTCTATTTCCGGGATAAAAACATAGCGGTTGTATATTGAAATTCCAAACTCCATTTAGTCATATTTTGGGAAATGTCCCTTGAGTTAATCACAAAAGTTTTTTAATATTTGTTTGAAAGTCTAGGTGGAGAAAATTAAAATGATAATAATCTTAACAAAAACTATAAAACTTTTTTCTTACTAAATTAACATGCATAAAAAAATAATAATATTTCAAAACATTTATAAAAATGGTTAACTACCTAACTAGGAGTAAAAAGTAGCTAAAAACCACAAATAGCACTACATTATTTTAAATTCTCTAGTTGAACTAATTATGTGTGTTTGAACATATAAACCCATGTAGCTTTCGGACTAAAATAAATATTTATTAAAATTAATAAAAAAAAATTGAAGAAATTAAATTATTAATTGAAAAATTAGAAAGAAACTATAAATAAAAAATGTAAAAACATGCCAGCATGCATTAGTAATGTCATATTGATGGCAGTTTCAATGAAAATTTTGGCATTATCAAAGAGTAATATGTCATTTTCTTGGTATTTTTAGAAAAAATGACATTTTTCACCGATCGGAGTGGTGGTGCGGGAAAGCAGTGGGAAAGGCATCCATTTTTTAAAATTTATTTATACTATATTTTTATTGATTTTTTTCATTTTTCTAAAAAAATTATTTTATAAATATTTTTTATTAATCCTTTAAAAAAATTATGAATTTTATTATTAGTTTTTATGATTTTTTTATTCTTTAACGATTTTATCATAAATTAAAATATTTCATTATGAATTAATACTCTTAAGGATATTTAGGGTAGAAAATTAATGGTTAGTCCTATTTGTGAATAGTTTAGGCTTTAATCTTATTTGTGATATTAAGTTTCCACTTAGTCCTATTTAGGACAATTACTATATAAAATATTTTAAAATCTTTTTCCATTTAAACCAATAATATTATAGTATTGGTGTCCTCATTTTAGAAGCGAACAATGGTGATTCTATTTGCACACTTTATTAATACTTTAGTCCTATTTAATAGAGAACATGTGCATGAATTTTCATCAAAAAGATGCACCCAGAAGCACTTTGAAAAATTTCAAAGTATTGTTCGAAAGAGATAGAGGATGAAGTAAAAGTTGTGCTGGATTGGGGGGTTGTTTAAGAAAAGAAATTTCATTCAAAAGTTTTTCTTTCTCTTTTTCAAAAGCTTTTCTTTCATCTTCAAAAAAATTGTTCAATTCAGCAATCTTCTTAAAGAGAAGGGGTGGGGGGGGGGGGGTTCCATATTGAGATTGTGAAGTGGAAGTTTCCCTTTGGTCAGACACATAACACATAATCCTTCATCAGAAGTCAGAGGGATTTTCTGGTCTTTGTAGCTTTTATTCAAAACAGTATAGTAAAAAGGGACTTCATCTTTTGCTTTGTTTTTTCATTTATCATCCATAAGAACGCCGTTTTCTTTGACTCCAATAAAGGTCATAAGCTTAGTCTGCCCTAATCCCATGTATCCGACGTCATAATGTTGAGCAAAATCAACTTTCTTCAGGGATTAGAGAGGCCTAGATCTTCTTTGAAGTTATAGAATCGAGTATCCTTAGGTTGATTTAGAAAAAACTATTTGATCTGTTTGGTCTCTTTTGACTAAAAGATCTTCAAGTTCTTTGATTATTTTCGTATACAGAGTATCTGTTGTTTTTGAAAGAGTTAATTTAATCGCAGAAAGTACCTTTTGTTCACGCTCAGAACTGGTCCATCTTTTAGTTAAATCACATACACTTACTCCTAATTTTTCTGCCTCTAAAGTTAGTTGGGCAATTTTCTAGACTGCTCATATTGTGCTATCTTAACAATAAAAAGGGATTCCTTCTCTAATTGTTTGAGCAAAACTCTGTGGTTATTATCAAGTCTTTCTTCTAAATCCTTAATGATTTGTTGACTTTCAAATTTTCTTACCTCAAATTCATCAGAAATTTCAACGCATTGGTGCTTACAAAACGATGATGAGGTTGATGAGGGATCCATTGTTGATTATTGGATATGAATTGTTGACGTGAGGTTGATTGAATTTATCTGCAAGTTAGAAGTGTATCTCTCATCTTGAGATAAGATAAACTTAATCTTGACATTTTTTTATTTTTATTTTGGAGAAGACTAAAGCGTACTGCTTCCATATATACTGACTATCTCCAATTGGTGTTCCTTTTTTACTTGCGCCTTATTTGATTAATTACTAACTAACTGTTCAAAAAAAATTACTAACTAGTAACTTTAATCAATATTGACTATCTCCCAAGGAGAAGTTCCCGGGTTGACTTCCACACATATTAAGGAAATAAAGTTACTGAGGGGTAAATTTTACTGTTTGGCACTGTTTCGACACTGTTTGGCACTGTTCCGACACTGTTTGACACTGTTTTGCACTGTTTAGCACTGTTTTGATGTAGGATAACTTTCCATTTAGGGAAATGGGAACTTATTGTTGGGACTACCAAAAAAGGAAAGTGGGAACTTGTCCCTGGGACGGAGCTATAATTGACTTCCAATATAGCTTTTTCCATATTATCAGGGGCGTAGATAGGGGGCAACTCTGACCCCATCACAACAAATTTTAAAAATACTTAAATTTTTAGTGTAAAAAAAATTTGTGTAAATTTTCTCCAAAATCTTCTTTGTATCGGTTCAGTGTCTCGGCTCCGCCCTTGTATATTATTTGTCTATTTGTTACACCGGAAGGAGCTTCCATATGATTTGTTTACATTAACTTTGAGCACAATATTTGGGCTGATCGATCTTATCCTCTTTACCCCCTATTACGAGTGGCGGATCTTGCAGCGAAATGTTGGATGTTCAAAATTAATTTATCATTAAAATATTGAATAATAATATTCTTTCATCAAACAATTGAATATATACATGTGACGTTTTTAACAATAAAAAAACTGGTAAACAAGATTACATGTAAGATAGAGATATTATCTAAAAAACACCATGTTATTGTATCAATTTATATGTGTATTTTTACATTTTAGTTTCAATTTTTTAGTATTCACTTGAACCCCTTTGAACAAATTAAACAAGATCCGTCCCTACCTACTACAATGCTCTAAATAAGATTAAAAGTTAGGTAAATTCTATGGTACCCTTAAGGTACCATACCTTTGTACACATGGACCCATCAGGATGATGCAGTTGAATTATTTAAATCTAAATTAAAAAGGATATAATGATTTGGACCAATCAAATGAATGATAGGTACGGTACCTCATTTTTTAAATGGGTACCGGAGCTGTCACCTAAAAGTTAATCAAAGTTTATGAACAGAATTATATGTTTTTAATTCCTTAAACATGACTTATTTGAACGGATCAAAACTCAAGTTACTCACTTCTAGGTTTCGAATCATCACCCAAGTTTTATATGCAACAGTTTTCTATCTCTAGACTCTAGTCTGTACATAATTCGAAGGAAAAAAAACAAAAATAGCACGCCCTGAATAAATACTTTAATATTTCTTATCCGATTGGATTTATAAAATAACAAAATACAACTAAAAAAACAAACCTCAATTCTATGTAAGGTGCATGTCAGTGTTCCATACTAGTACATTTTTAATATACTATTAAAATAAACACAATTGAATAGGGACTATTCACATCCTGCACCATTTGCACGTATCCATTGATTACTTCTGCATTAAAGCACGTATATATGTAATAATTCTGCATGCATATTTTTACTTATAATATATTTGTATACATGCATGGTCGTAAGTCATAAATAAATATAACGGGATCGTTTACTATAATTGAGAAAAACTTTAAAGAGAAACTACTTTTTTGTCCTAGTAATTTAATCCTATATACCTAAAAGCACAATTCCACCCTGAGCGGAGCTAGGTGTACACAAAAGTTATACACAAAAGTTGTACACTTGTCTATTCAATGCAAATAAATTGTCTGTCCGGAGGTGAGTTGTCGGTGGACAGACAAATTCTACAAAGCCCTTTCCCGCTTTGTAGATGAAAATTCTACAGATTATTCTATATTTGCCAAAACCTTCATCCGATTCAAGCTTCGTATCAAGCTCCATCGTCATCTCTCTGTCGAATTCCCTTTACTCCGTATAAGATTTCACTTTTACTTTTGGTTGATTGATATTTCATTTACAGAATGAAATAACCCTGATTTTTCTGTTTGAGAGGAACATATTTGCTTTGGATCAAAATTTTAGTACAATCATTTATAGTTAGTGATTCTATGGGGTTGAAAAGTAAAATAATTGACACTTCTTATTCATTCATCTGATTCTTGTGTAAATTTATGTGATTCTGTTTTTTTGTCATTGCACATTTTTAAAGTGATTTTTTTCTCCCTTTGTTCTTAGTTATTCGATGTCTCATGCCGATGATATGTTCACGTTGCTACCAGTAGCTTTTCAAATAGGCGAATCCCCCACTAAAAATGATAATTTCAAAGCATTAGTAACTTTAAAGTCGGTTATTGATACTCTACTTCTGGCTATGATCAATCTCATTTATTTGGTACCTGTTTCATTTAAGTTTGATTTTTTTAA